TGTCCTTGCCAAATTATCATCAATATTCAGAAGTTTTTGGTCCTATAGAAGCTGCGCCAAAACCGTTTTTAGAAAAAAAATCTCATTCAGCAAATGCGTAAATGTTTTCTACTGAACATACCGCACCAAAATTGCTTTCGGAAGCTTCTCGCTAATGTTTTTCTTTCGAGCACGATGTTGTTGGAATTTCAGCAAGAAAGTTGCAGTTTTCAAAATTTCATTTGTGTGATACTAGCAATAAGTAAGTGTTTTTTATTGAAAAAAAGCTACAAGAATCTGTCCGTTTCTGGAAAATTCATCCTCTTACTGTATAATAAAAAGCACGGTTCCATCTGTCGACATTTCAGCACTGCCTGAACTTTTCACGTAGTTGAAGACAAAATATAAGAAACAATATCTTTCAAAGAGTAACAGTGTGGTGACGCAAATCGCTTTAAAATTTTTTCAAACTTAAGCGCAAAAGTTCTTCTAGCTAAGGAAGCGTACGTACTAAAAGAGCTCTAACTTTGAATTTTCGGATATTTCTCCAGACCCAAGTTCAAGGGTATGTTAAAGTAAGTCACTGTGATCGCAATCGAAGTTTTTAGAAAGGCTCTATGCTGTTTGAATCTGCCGCTAATATTTCAGCTATGAACAGACACAAAATAAAATGCGAGTTGGCATCACTAGCCATCAACTAAGTCTATACTGAATTCAGTTTGTCAAAATATAGCGCAGTTTCAAAACCATATGAGCAACAAGGAATTGCTTCAGCTGACAACATAAAAACCCCTTCACAGTAGGTCCTTCACAAAATTTATATTGGGAGCCTGCAGAGATAAGCCTGAATAAATCATTTTGGAGCACTTTGAATGCATTTGCAAGGGAGTTGGGCACTTTGTGAAACCGAAGGGGCATTTTGACAGTAGAATGTTTTGGAGATGAAGTGGAGTTGGCGCTATCACGAAATTTTGAAAGAGAAGGAAGGAGTATCTTGATTTATAGAATTTTGGAAAAACAATTGTAATAATTACATACCCTGCAGATTAATATACACATATGAACCACCAATATCTCAAAAAATTTTCAATTATAATAGTATTTTGAACAAATTAAATAATAATCAAATATTACAAATCCTCTCTAGAAATTGTAAATGTAGTGAACCTTCTATGAAGAACTACATAGACAAACAACATCAACACATAGTTACTGGAGACTTAAATATTATTCAAGATAAATACTTGAGATCCATTATGGAAAAAGGCACAAAATATAGAATACAGAAAGAAATTAACAAAAAAGAAATCGTAAATTGGATACACAATGTAGTTCAAATAATAATGGATACCTACATAACAAAATTCAAACTTAACTATGAAAAAAACTTAAACATAAAAAATTACCTAAAGAAAACATTTTTTCATAAACTAAAACCTTTATTATATAGAGAAAAATTAAAAGGTGCTATACCTTATAATTTCAATTGTAGTTATCTCAAAAATCTCAAAAATAATTTTATCATATGTCCACTAGATAAAGCAAACAACAATTATGGCATTATATGTATAAAATTATATATAAACATGATTATGAAAGAACTTGGCATCAAATATTCACAACACTTACAAAAATTCGAATTTGACTCTAATGAAACATATGACTTATACGAAAATGAAGAACCCAATAATATCATTAACAGACACAAAATTTTTTGTATAAACAATAAACTTTCTACGCAAGAAGTTAATAACATACCACTCATATATTGCTTACCCAAATTACATAAGTCTCCAATAAAATTTAGATTCATAACAGGAGCAACACACAGCAGTATTAAACCCTTAGCAATTGAATTGAATACTATTTTTAAATTTATCAAAAACCATTTTAAAAAATATGTTCAATCTATAAAAAATAGAAATCATAACTTTATTGGATACTGGTCTATAGACAATATAAATATAAGTAACATTATTACAAACATTGATAAGAAAAATAAAAAACTGTACTCTGCTGATTTTACAAACATGTTCACCAGCCTTCCACATAACATTATAAAGACTAATATCAAAGAACTTTTGAAATTATGTTTCAAAAATGCTGATAAAAACTACATAATACATAAAAACAACAAAATCTATTACACAAATGATATAACAAATATAAAACCATATACAAAATATTACACAATAACTGACCTAATTTATTTAATCGACTACATTATAAACAACAGCTTTTGTAAATTTGGTATATACATTTTTCAACAAAAAACTGGAGTACCTCAAGGAGGTAACTTTAGTCCTATTTTAGCAGATCTCACGTTATCATGGTATGAATATAAATATTCAATACAAAGACTAAAATATAAACAAAATATGATTCCTTATAGATATATGGATGATTTATTAGTAGTACACAATGCAGATAATGATATAGTACAAAAATGGATTAAAGAAATTTATGATTATAAACTCCAAATTGAAACAACAAACGACAACGAATACACATGCAACTATTTAGACCTAACCATTATCTCATATAAAGATAAATTAACAACTAAATTATACAACAAAACTGATGCTTTCAATTTTCCAGTCAAAAGATTCATTCATTCTACTTCTTCCTTATCTAACAATATCAAAAGAGCGATAATATACACGGAAACATTGAGAATAGCACGTACATGTTCACTCTTTGAAGACTTTCTAGTCCGAATATTACAACTCAAATATACATCCATCAAAAACGGATATGATATTACTACAATTATATCTAGTATATTCAAATGTTTGAAAAGAAATGAATTTATACTTTATAAATATAATCTACTAAAAGAACAACAAATTAAATTACTTTTAGAATTACGTAAAAATACCTGAAATATATATATATAATATCTACATTAATATTAAAGAGAATAGTCACGTAACAACTTCCTCGTTGAAAATGAAATGAACCAAAGAAAAACTGTAAACATTATGAAACGAAGTATACTTCATTTAATCGTGTATACAAAATCATACGGCCATATATATATATATCTATGAGTCTCGTCAATTCAACATTATCGTATTGTATTATATAATATATTCAATATAAACACTACTAAACTGCAAGAAGATCATTGGTGAGTACTCTACAATTCATGTAAATACTTAAAATATTAATAATAAAACATAAAATGATCAAACAAACTTTATAGATTTACAATTATAACAAATATGTTTGAATAAAACATGATTCTGGGTCTTCCTTCCTTACTGAGGAGTTCCGGGGAAGACCTAGAACTCATTTTAAACTCCGTCTAAGGGAAGGAACGAAACGGAGTAACATGGTTTAATGTTCTAGAAAAATATCTAATTCTCTTTAATTTAACTAGCACTACACTATAGAAATATATCATTTCAATTTATTACTAGTTTATTAGGTTCAAATTTTGGCTAGATTATCAAAAAATGTTGAGTTGGATATTCTCTGATTCAATATTGCGATGAGTAGCAAGTCCAGAGTTTGAAATACCCTCGCACTTTGGAAGCACACTCAGGCTGGAATTTTTTTTTCGAGTGTGAGAAAGCCACTGCGTTCTAAGGATCCCCGCAAAATGTAGGAGGAAAAAGAAATTTTCGCGCGTATATCACTCGATCGCTATCAGGCCAAAACTTTGGTCAAAACTGCGCGCCAACGCAAAGGGTTTGCGCTGCATTTGCGCGCCCTGTAGCAGCCCGGTATATGAAAGAAATTGAGAGAACAGACAGATCTTGACGCCACCACCTCTAGCAACTCGCAGACGTGAGTCACAACTGTGGCGTTCGAAGCGCATTATGTCGGTTGTGCCAGTTCCGGATGAAGACAGGCTATGAACACATAAACGACATTTTTATTATAGTAAGCTGAAACTGTAAAGTGTGGGAATGCAAAAAAAGATGGTAGTTGGCAGTTTCGCACTGAATTTCTGTGTAGGAAATTGGGGGAGGGGGAGGGGAGAGCACAGTTGGGCTCAAACCCGGAAAAAACCAGGATTTGTGATACATTGACTTTGTTAGCCTTTGGGATACTTACATGTCTAAAAATTCCGCCTCTTACTTTGCTACAAATCTTCAAATATCTTAACTTTGAGTCACATCCCACTTCACACACACGGCCTAATAATACCTAATAATCGATTATTCGATTATTCGAAAAAGAATTTAAGCATTCCAAAGTATAGTATGAATTCTCTATGCAATGGCGGTCCCAAGACTTCTGTTTGGGAGGGGGTGAGAGGGGAGAGGAAAGACAAAAAATTCTTTGATAAAGGTGTGTGAAGTTAGCCGCTCTCATTCCGCAAAAAAACCTTGAGATCCTTCCCATATAGCAGACCCATAATCAGAAACTCCAAAAAAGGCGTGGCTACGGCCACGCTTCCGAGAAATCTTTTTACAAGGTTTTCTTGAATGAAAAGTAAAAGTTATTTTTATTCTTTGCGAGCATAAAGAATCACACAACTTTACGAGTGATGTAACTTCCAACTACTTTGCGACCCTTTCGCCTCCCCCCTGCCCCCATCCCTCTTCCCTCGTACCTTCCGAAATACAGCGAGGCGGCTGAGCGGCTTGCTTAGGAAATAAAAAAAAGGCGTCCTGTACTCGTGAAATCAGTATACCTAGAATATTTCGGCATTTAAAGAAGTGATCTTAATTTTTCTTTATGAATGTGAGCGTTTTCGTTTAAAAAAAATTTTAACTGTCATTTTCGTTTTCAAAAATTCATAATTGTTTCCATAAAATGTTGCAAAACTTCAAGACATATGGCTTGATAAAATTATCAGACAGAAAGTTGAAATTTGACAACTATTGTCTAACCAGCAAGTATAGTGAGCATATTGCTAAGAAATTAATCTCATGTCAGCAAAAACTTCGGGAAAGGCAGCAATCAACAGTCTTCGTTCTCTTTACCACTATATAAATACTACGACGATTATTATTGTTAGTTGTACAGAAAGATAAATTAAACTGATTATAGACTTTGTAACCACTCACATGGCAGAATCGTACAGCATGCTTGAAAAATGTTAACTTGACTTGCATTCACTACTAAAACTGGCATTTGAAGCTGACAACCTAGAATGTGAAGTGTAGTATCATGTAATCACGTGCTAAAGTCACCGAACTGTGAAAAAATTTTGTTTTAGTAAAAGTGCGGATGTCAAAAAAAAATTGGCAAAAACAAGCACATTGATGGGTGGACACGTGATACTCTTATTGTTTGAGCATGCTTAACAACTAGAACTGGGCAACATTTGTCTCCTTCTGTCCAGTACAACAACACAAGGCTTTCGTAATCTATGCTCAAAGTACATGTCGACAACTTCAGTGCTGAGTAGGTTACCGAAGATGTGTGATGAACGCTCCTCTAGATTAGATAAAAAATTGCGACATTGGATTGCAGGAGATACAGGGTGCCGAGCGGTCTACAGTCAAGCTTCGTTTAACAAAGCCTTATATGCCATTCGTCGTCCAGACTTAATAGCAAAACACTTATGCATTCCTATTTAAATGAATGGAAAGTGAAAAGTATTGGAACAACTGGCTGAAAGCTGCTTTCCCACGACTTATGACGGTATAAATGGCTTTCATTTAGTTGCATGTGCGTGGCAAACAAGCTTTTGTTTCTGTTCGTTATGATGACACCCGGAGAAGCTGTATTGTCATATTCGGAGAATGCATAATTTTTCTGAAGCCTTAGCACTGATAAGTGAGTATTGAGCGAAGCATCGAACATAAAAACACCGTTAACGAGTTCTTGCATACAATTCACACGATTTTATAATACTAGCATTCGTCCTCTCTGCTTTCCCGAACATAATGACTTTACATGCTATTTGTTTTTATAGATTTCTATCCTTCTTTTCCATTCTAAGCCATTTTATCTTTCTAAAAAGTAAAGTTCTTTTTGATTCACATGGTTCTACGCATTGCGAGCAAGTCTTCAAAAAGGAGAGTATTAGAGAAAAAGTTCGAATGGGCTACGGTTGTGCATCATCACTGATTGGCACAATTTCGTTCCATTTATTTTCATTTTTTTAACAGAGAAAGCAGTAAGGCCGTTCGCTGCTGTTTTGCGATGGGTGCCATTGAAAAGATAGACAACAAGCTTCTTGGCACGGGTTCTCATATATCATGGTTCAAGGTCAGGATACCGCATTATGTAGTTGATTTCTCATCCGAGAAAACACCAACACAATCCAGAACGTGAAAGTCCAGAACACATCATTGTTAACGCTAAATTATAGTGATAATTGAGGACTGGAGCCATTGACAATTAAGAGAAAATTGCACTACAAACGTATAAAAAACTTTTTTTTTTGAAGGAGTGTATTCCAGACGCAACAGGTCGTTTCATGAGCTCGTAAGATTCTGTAGGCCAACACAACAGTTTCTAGCAAAAATCAGCCAATAACGGCAGTATGGCGATGGACGTTTTGCCACTTCTGTCAAACTTTAGATCTTATTTTCCCAAACGACACCGCGCTTGCTCCCGAAAAAGCCTTAAAAGCGCCCTGATACTCATCAAAATCAAGCATCATTGTAAGGTTTGCGAGAGATATTTCACAACAAACGATAATCTAAAAGAGCGAGAACTAAGGAGTAGTATACTAGAGTACCTTTCAGATAGGTCTTGCAAAACAAGATGACGTTTACCGTCTCGAATCAAGATTGTCATGCGAAAAAGTTCACTATGCCCATTATACTATTGGGCTTTCTGCACTATGAACTCGTTCAAGACGACCATACTTCGATACATAGATTCATGTACTCTGGTGATCTTCACTTTGAACGACACAAAAGAACAACCTTTACTAAAAAGCAGATATCATCTGGGGCTGGCTTCCCCCAGTTGCTAAATCATAATTATATTATTGATATGATTGAAGTGCGTATAGTAATTAATATCTCCGATATATCCCAGCAGGACAGAGAAATTGAGTTCTCAAAGGCTTCTTTGTGCTACGAGGTTTTTGTGTACATTTCCATAGTATTCAGGACAACGTTCTTTTAACTGACCGCTTTTTAGACTACGATTGAATTCCAAATACTCACAAGAGCCATCAAGAAACTGCGCTTAACTCTAGCGCAGAGAATTGTAAACAAAAGTGCTGGCTTATCTCGTTAAAAAGTGTTTTTCAAGGCTAGCGACGTTGTGAACGCTCTAGTCGTGTCATGACGATCAGAATGAGTATAATGTTGCAAGGTTTTGTTGAGACCCAGCTGAAATCTACGACCAGAGCGAGCCAAATGTTCCGTCGGCTGGTCTTTGTCTTCTACTCATCTGCGTCTCTGTGCGTTGCGCGCTACCTCGCTACCTCAAACGCGGGGTGCGGGGTATTTGGCTCTGGCTTTGGCTTTGACACGAACTAATATGTAAGGTGTTATCATGATTTTATAGCGGACTTTCCATGCACAGCACTTGCTATTGTCGTTCAAGTGCTCATTTCCTCATCTATACCGTTTCTATCTTTATTTGAGCACAGTTACTCTTATTTATTCCTATTCTAAAATGTTGTCGAATCCAACGAGACAAGACGAAAATTATTATTCCAAAAAAGTGCGACAATAACAAGATAAAAATTTTAGCGATTGCAGGAAAACTACCCATTATCTCACCATACACGTTTACTTTAACTTTCCAGCTTTTTGAAAAAACGTTGCCCATCATAACCGTCACTCAGACCCGGAAGCTCCAAACACATGTTCCTTTCACTGTAAGCAATTAATTCAGCTTTAAGCATCAGTTCGCATTGGAAAAAAGGCGTCCGCTTTCAGCATTAATTCAACAGCAGCTTGAATAGTGTCTTACTTTGCAAATCAATGCGGAATGCGTTTATCAGAGGCGAAGAAACCTTCGTCTTACTCAATAAATTGTTTTTGCCAATCGAGCTAGCGACAAATTATCAGTGCTGCTTATTTGGAAAACTATCTCAGTGGCTAAAAATAGAAGCCGACTGCAGAAACATTATGCACAGAAGGTGCCAACTTGAATCGTTATATCTGTTGAAAATGTCACTGGGACTAATTAAACGGTAAAAGCTGGAATATTTTTGAGCAAAAAAGTTATTACATAGCTAAATGGTAGCTTGTAATCCTAGTATCTTTAGTTCCCAAGGATATCTTTGAAGAAAAAAATTGCATTGTAATGTCTCGACAGAAAAAGGATTGAATTGAAATAGTTGTAGCTAAAGTGACATACTGATTTGTTGTGCACAAAAGCGATGGTATTGTTTCTAGATGATGAGCTGTTATCTACGCTTGGGTGTCCTCTTGGAGCTAGTAAGGTTTACGAAAATTTATTGAAAATTGGTGCACAATTCTTGATTAAGATTTGGCAAACGAAGATATGTTTAGCAATTTACAGGATATAAGCTCGTCATCCCTTACTTTCACCTCCGTGTCGTTATTGCTCAGTACCCAACTTCCGTTCACACAAAACAGCGATGTACTGTTCTCCGCGTTGGCTTGGATACGAGATTGCGAAGCATTCTAAATTTGTTAAGAATTACGCACTCCTCTGAAAGGTGTTATGCAAGTGGAAATGATGGAAAAACTTTGTGCGAAAATCGTATTTATTGCGTTTGTGGCATCTATATGTCTGCTGGATTTGGAAAAATTCAGCAAAATAGAAAATTAGCGAAACCTTACCATAGTAAGAGTTTTTGGTTCGCTTCTATGATCCAGTAAGATGCTTGAAGTGCAACAAAAACATAATTTGAAAAAAAAGACGAAAAAAGCTTCGAGTAAGATCGAGTTCGTTTTTGCATTTATATAACAGACGTGACACTTGTTCATACAATGCAAAATTACTTTTGAAGCGATTCAATACATCGCCGTCGATCTGTTGTCAAAAGAATGGTTTTTGCTTTTCCGCTGCTTACCTAAGTTCTAATGACAATGATATTCGATAAAGAGTGGAAAACACTTTTTGAGTTTTCAATTTCAGGCCAAAGGCGCTCATACTGCCGTGCACTTTAAGCTTTCTTTTTAATAGAGATTTTTAATTAACAAGCAGTTCCCAGTCGGCTAGATTTTGTCCAGAAAACTTAGAAAGTTTATAAAAGGCATATTACACGTTTAGCCACCATGTCATCTGATTATGTATAAATCACAAACCTCATTACTTTTTGAGATGACGACATTATCTTTCATTCCGCAATCCAGCCTCGATGTGCAGTCAGAAGATGATTTATCACAATTAGGGCATATCTGTTCTAAGGAAGGACACGAGCTGGCACATTTTGATTGTTTCTCCTCATGTTCTTCTCAACGTCTTGCATAAGATTATCGATATTTTTCAGAATTTGCTTTTTTACCTTTGCTAACGCAAAGCATGCCTTGCACTTCATGAGAATGTTTGCCGTCATCATAGATCCAAACTTCATCGCAGTAAATGTCCTGCGGATAGACAATCATACTCCTACCCGATTTCAGTTGCACCCTGCAGGAAAGGCTTTTGTTTATATGAATCTACCATATTGGCAGTATCCTTTGTAAAATGTCTGAGCTTTCACTAAGACTGATATAACCTAATGAGCTCGCGCCGTTCCTTGACTTATCCGGGTTTGACCTACTACCTCCGAGTCAGGAAGGCTAACTCACTCAGTCATTGCGTGTCACTCGGTGGTGGGTAGTTTTCAACTCAAATTTGAGCTGAGCTGTTCCACCTAGCTGTCGTTTCATACAATTTTTTGTCTTTTTCCTGCAAGATGCGAAGGCGTTTGGGCGAGGGGATCTTATAAGCTACTCACTTACAGGCTCTGACGAAGGCAAGTTGGCCGAAACGTTAACCTAATAAAGGTTATAACGGTCTTGATGAAGGCTCATACATTTGACAAAGGCTTTTGTTTCTATTGTGGTGAGGATACACGATGAAGACTTACGCTAGAGATGAATATGGACACTCCACAACCAGATCCTTGCAGCCATATGCGTCTTTCAAAGACTTCAAAAACGGAGCTGAGCAATTGTTTTCGGACGGACAAAGATCAAATTCAGTGTAGTTCTTAAGTGAAGAGCATGAATAGCAGCTGGACTGAATCTCAGCTTCGCGGGCTTTCCCTAAAGAAAATTC